GGGTGTAAGTGCTCGTGGGAAACATCCGATGGTTCAAGGTAGGTAGGAGGAAAGTTGCGGGCGTGCCGCATGAGATGTTTGCGGGGTAAGTGATTGTAGAGGACTTCGAGGACGAAGTCTAGTTTAAGCGGGGGAGAGTTGTAACACCGGGAAAGCAGAAGGCCAATTAAGGAAAGAAAACCTCCAATCAAGAAGGCAACTCGTCGAGTTCATGGGTGAGAACTCGACGAGTAGGAATGTTGGCACGTGTGTTTTTAGAAGACCAACTCAACGAGTTGGATAGGGTTTGGGAAACCCTAGATCCAAAATTTTGCACCCTATTTAAACACTATATGACTTACGGTTTGGCCCCATTTCCAGCCTCCATTGTCCAGACCCTAGATCTTGAAACCCTAATGCTTGTGAGCCATTTTTTAGAGAAATATTGTGTGTTGAGGCTTATAGAAGAAGGAAGGGCTTGAAGATTCAAGAAGGAGATTATAGATCCAACAACTTCGCTCCATCCTTATCGTTTTCTAGTAAGCAAGTCTCAAACTTGCTTAATAACCTCTTAGATCTCTTCTTCTTCACTTTTATTGGGTTTTTGGTCCAGTAGCATGGTCCATGAGAAATGGATGTCCCAAGTGAGTATACTTCCAAATCTAGGACTTTGAAGGGCTTTCATGGCATAAAGGTGCAAATGTTATGGCCATTGAAGTCCCATGCAAGCTATATGATGTTAGTTTTGCCTTTTAAGCTCCAAAACGCCATGCATTGAGAGAAAGTCAGAGACTTTACATGTTCATGCAGTGTTTAGGGTATAGATCTCATTTTGTATGCCTTAGCTTGAAGTATTAATGGTTTTTGGATCAAGATATAGGTCTTAAAGAGTTAGGGTTTGAGTTAAATCCATTGAAGAAAGGTATTAACGGGTAAAGTTGGAAACTTTACCCTTAAAAAGACATTTTCAGTATATGTGTGGAGTATGAAGCCCATATATGAAGAATAGGGGCTTAATCCATTAAGATTAAGCAACAGACCAAAGAACTCGGCTAGTCCATAAAGGAACTCGACGAGTTACAACGATTTGTCCCGATTCTAGAAAAGGCAGAACTCGACGAGTAGACTTGTTTTCTCATGGCCATGAGTAGCATGGAAACTCGGCGAGTCAAGGGGGATGACTCGGCAAGTTGAGTCACCCCAGAATGTTGACTTTGACTAGAATGTTGACTTTGATTGGGGTGTTGACTTTGACTTTGACCAAGGTTGACCCGTGAAGGGGTTTTAGGTATGGAATGATATCTAAGGGATTATTAGATTTTAACTAAGTATTATGTTGGTAATGACAGCTCGGGGAGTCGTCAGAGCAGCCGTTATAGATGCCTCATAGTGAGATTCTACATTCAGCTTGGAGAGGTGAGTTTTCTCCTGTAGGGACAAGTCGAAGGCACCAATGCCGGTCCGTTTATTTGTGTTAGTATGTTTCGGACTAAGGTTCGATGCTGGGCAATGCCCAATGTAGGTTATTATGTTTCTAGATTGCAATCCGATGTCGGGCGGCGCCTGAGGAATGCTTGTATTCTTGATGTCTTCGTGATTATTGCATGTGCTTGTTTTATATGTTTCCGGACTTCATTCCGATGCCAAGGAAATCCCGAGGAATGTTTGTATGCTTCTGGATTTCGTTCTGTTGCCGGGCAGGGCCCGAGGATAGTTTATATGTATGTTTTCGAACTACGGTTCGATGTTGGGGGTACCCAATGAAGGAATGCATGTTTAGTTATACTTGTTTTCTTTGTGATACTTGTATCTGCCTGGTAGGGAGGTAAATCTGGGAAGGGTCCCGTATCTCATCACTAGCTGAGTGTGGACAGGGTTCCACATCTCATTATTAGCTTAGTAGAGGCGACACCCGTGATAGGCGAGGCCTTAGGACGAGCATATATAGTATTGTGTATGATTTTTTATGTGCTAGCATGATTATATGTTATTGTCTGTATGTATATAGCGAGAGGGGCCCTAAGACAAGCGGGGCATGGAAGAAACATATTTGTATACCGAGCAGGACTTGATGCCAGGCGGGGCCCATGATATGTGATTATATGTATGGTATGTGGTAGTTTGGGGAGACTCACTGTAACGCCTCATTTCTGGTATGTAATTTAAATAAGTATTATTACTTCTTAAGGGGTACTCGACGAGTCTGTAGCCTGACTCGTCGAGTAGAGACAGGATGATCACGCGATTTAAGTTGGCTACTCGACGAGTCCATATGCTGGGACTTAGCAAGTCTACCTGTTTGGATGAAGCCCTAATTTCAAGGGTTTGCACCCTATTTAAACATATTTATGTGCCCCAAACCATTCTCCATCACCCTTAGAGCGCCCGTTACCAAATCCTAGCCTCCCTTTAAGTTTTTTGGAGTGTTTCTCATCTTGTGAAGGATTCTGGTGCATTTTGAAGTTAGAAGAAGAAGAGAGAAGAGAGGTTCTCAAGAGGAGCAAAGGATATATGAGCTTCTTGTGTCATTCTAGCCTCCATTAAGGTATAAAGTTCGAATTTTGGCTTGTCACTATATAGATATTCTTAAAAGCTTGCTAGTGTTGCTTCTTTTGCCATTTTCTAGACATTGAGGTTGTTTTATGGGAAGTTAAGATGAATGGGTTTCAGACCTAAGTATTTATGCACTCCTTGAGGTCAAGGTTGCCACCTTTATTGAGCTAAACACCCATTCAAAACCTAGATCTCCTCTTTTAGCTTCTTATTGGGCATTTTAGCTTCTTATGTGCATGCATGAATGTAAAGTTAGAAACCTTACGTGTGAAATCAGTCCTAGCAACCCAGATCTATGTATTAGATGTACTGGAATCAAGGTAAATCGAATGTATAGTAATGGCATGCTTGGGACTCGGCGAGTTGTTCTTCAGACTCGACGAGTCGAGTTGCGAGTCCCCGTTTTTCCCCGATTTGAGAGTTTAGGGTGAATCAGTGAGTGGGATGTTGGGTTTTGAGCATTCTAACACTCCTAAGTGTACATGAAACCCTAAATACCTTGGATCTATGTTTTCTCTATTATACATGCAAATATGAACTTTCCAAGGTATTCATCCTAACTAGCATAATAACATGATTCATATGAATATATCAAGTTAGAATTACATACCTCTTTGATATAGATTATCTTCATGAAACTTGAGTGCCTAGTGCCCCAAGTGTGACACCTCAAATTGTTCACACAACATAATATGCACTTGGAAAGACTTGAGAGAATTCCACACTTCATGAAAATCGGCTAGCCCTTCTCTAGATAATACTAGTGCCGATTTTGGTCAAGAATAAGATGCATATATAGTTAGGGTTACACCATGTAAACCCTAATTGACATGGCCATTCATTTTCATGATCCATGGGTACAAATACACCATGGAGCATCTTATGGGTTTTAGCCCAACTTAACAATCCATGGAGCATTAGCCCACAATATAAGTATGGATGATTTACACAATCAAACCATATATTTAATTAGTCTTCTTTTGATCACTTAATTAATCCTAGATTAATTCTTGATCAATACTAATTAAATAATCTTATTAATATATTAGAACTTATAATATATTAACAAACCTTAACTGTTATTTCTCTCATTATAGTCTATCCAAATGCATGATGCCATGCAACCCAAATGGACCATGTCGGGTCGGGTCAAATCTTACCAATTATAGTTATGGACTTAGATATTAATCCAACATTGGAATCGACTCGGTGAGTTAGAAATCAGATCTAGCGAGGGAGGGACTCGACGAGTCTACTCCCCGACTCGGCGACTCCGGTCAACTGAAAGTTGACTTTGCCTAGGGATAAAATAGTTATTTTCTCCTTGAAGGCATTTATCAGTACCTGATCTAGTGTTTGATTGGTCATGATAGCCGGAGAGCAGCCGGGACAGCAATTAGAGATCTTTCACGTAGGTTTTTAGCAGTTAGTTCTACAAGGCGAGTTCTCTTCCAATAAGAACAGGTCTACGACTACAATGCTGACTCGTTTATATAGCAATAATATGTATGCTTGATGTCTTCATGATTCAAGCATGTGTTGCTATGTGTAGTAAATTGGGAAAGCCGATACAGTATGTAATTATGCTATATGTTCTTGATATGTTATATCCAGTTTCCTCTGGACTTCGGTCCGATGTCGGGCGGGGCCTGATGCAGTGGGCGGGGCCTAAGTTATTCCGGACTTTGGTCCGATGCCGGGTGGGGCCCGATGTAGTGGGCGGGGCCCAAGTTATTCCAGACTTCGGTCTGATGCTGGGCGGGGCCCAATGCAGTGGGCGGGGCCTAGTAATTGTTGTATTCGTTTGTTATGTTTTTAAATAGTATGTGGTAGTCTGGAGGAGCTCATTAAGGTTTGTGCTTACAGTTTCAGTTTTGGTTTCAGGTACTTCCACTAGCAAGGGGAAGAGCACGGGTTGATGGCATGGCACACACTACTAGAAAAACAATCTTTTACGACACTCATTGCGCGTCGTAAAAGGCTCAGACGACGCACAAATGCGTGTCAAGGAAGGCCCTGTCATAAAGAGAGACGATGCGCATTTACGACGCGCGTTTATGACACGCAATGTGTATCAAGGAAGGCCCTGTCATAAAGGAAGACGACATTCATTCACGTGTCGTAACCTTACGACGCGCGTGTTAATGACACGCAATGCGTATCAAGAAAGCCCCTGTCAAGAAAGGCCATGTCATAAATGAAGATGACACACATTTTTGCGTATCATAATTTTAAATGTTTAAAAAAATATTATTTATAGATTTACTTATTTTCAAATTAAATTTGTATTTAATGTTTCATAATAGAAAATAAAATATCATATACAAAAAATAGAATCCATTTCATAAATTTAATGTCATACAATTCTATTTCTTACAATATATAAATTTGCATCTAATCTACTATGTACATCAAATTACAACTAAGTAAAGTTTCATATTGCCTTTCATAATTCTTTAATACTAATGCTCCAAACAGCTGATTATATGGATAAGCAGTTGTACATTGGCCCATCTCACTCAATAATGACTTAGCCAAATTCAACTCACTTTCCAAGAGCTTTCTCATGTACAACAAGGCCAATTCCAGTTCCTCCCAACCCTGCACAATGTATCACATCAAATTAGGAAGTAAATATAAGCATATCTTGCAGGGTTAAAATGGTAATTTGTGTAATTTTATAACCAAACACAAATTACCAGGAAAATACATAAGAACAGTAGAATCTTTTAGAGGCATGTTACAGGTAACAAGGCAAAACCATGCTGAGATCAAGTTTGGAGATGATATCATCAAATGAAGGCCTATTGTGCATGTCAGCATCCCAACATCTTTGTACCAGAGATAGTAAATATAATACACCAATATATGAAAATGAAACTACATAGCTATTTCTTGTATTTAGCTCGATTAAAGCAAGAGAACATGAATGTTCTTGTGGAACCTGAGGTTCACAATGTTTTTGCAAGAATACTAGGATTTGGGTTTGTACAAACTTTTTGCAGTCAAAATACAAGTTATATAATGCAAGAAGTTGCATTTCTTTGTGGGAAAGTAGACAAATATGCTTTTTTTTTTCAATTATGAGATTATGACATGGAAGAAGAGAAAGAAATATATAGATTTTCTTTTCAAAATTTTGGAGATAGTACATGACCAAGCTGTCTATGCCATCAAAATCATGCTACTTTTATAACCATATACCAAAACTTTGGGATAATTTTCAACCAGTAAGTCATTATATCCATGCCTATGTGATGTTTCCATTTACTATTCTCTCATTCAAACAAAAAAAATTAGAACTCACATTTTGGCTTTGATTATATAGTTCGTATATAAAAAATATACGATTTACAACCATGTACAAATACATATAACGTATTTAAAGCTTCCTTTTTAGAAGAACGGACAAAAGAAGAAGACTTGTAAGCGGATTTGGGGAAGGGTTTGGGATTTTCACTGAGTGCCATCTTGATGTAATTTAGAAAAGAGCAGGCAAAAGAAGAGGATTTGAGGAATGATTTGTTAGAATATGAAGACTTACCACAATTCCAGACAAAGATTATTAATTAATTAAAGAAATATTATTAATTAAAAAAAGGAAAAAATATAAGTTGGGATGAAAGTAATGAAGAGAAGATAAGAATGGAAAGAAATAATGAGCAACTTACAAGGTGTTGTTGTGTTCCTGTTACAAGGAAAGTCTCGTTGAAGACAATTTAATCCTGGGAAGTAACTGTAAATGGAACATAAAGAAAAACAAGGTTAAGAAGAAATAATAAGAAAAAGAAAAGGAATGTTAACCATAGCTCTTTTGACTTTTCATAGCTTATTTGACCCGATAAGCTTTTCAAAAAGCTCCAAAATAAAAGATTGAGTAGAGTTGGGTTGTGATCAAAGATATTTAAGAGTTAACACTACTCTTTAATGAAAAAAGTGGAAACGATAAAATAGCTGTTATATATATATATATATATATATATATATATATATATATATATATATATATAATATTGGAAGGTTAAAAAAATTAGAAGGCATTATTTGTACATAAAAGCACTCAGACATTATACATATAGACACACATATCCCAAACATGAACAAAGTTGACTAATTGCATCATACCCAAAAGATTGATAGCCTGAGATTGATTGATAAAACAAACAGACAAGATCAAGAGAGGCACCTGATCATGAAGCAGACAATATCAACTGAGTCATTCTGATTAATTCATTTATGAAAATAAAAAATTCCATGTACCCAGAAGCTGGGACAAAAAAAACTCACCAAAGCTAGGACATTTTCCTATTGAGTGGGTTGTTTTTACTAAGTGGGTGATTTTTAGGATCCATGACTTCCTTTTTCCCAGTTATGACTCCCAAAGCTGAGACAAAAAAACTCACCAACTACTAGAAGGAAATCTGGAAAAACAAGAACTCGAGGGAGTTGAATCTGAACCACAAGCAGTTGAGATGATGCCCTCATTCTGAGATCCATAAATACCCTCCAACTGAAGGAAAAATAAATAACCAAGATTTCAGAAAACATATACAAAGGGACAAGATTGCCATTATGTTGACTGAACATGACAAGAAAACTTGACTGGTCATGTTGAATTTATCATCCGGGAGGCATATTGTATCCGAGTTGTGAGAGTTTATGAAAGGAGGAGGGAGGTTTGGTTGTTCACCCAAATTCATGGTAAGACAACTGGTGAGCAAAGCTATATGCATCAACAACATGTATCCAGACATTGATAGTTGGGGGTGAGTTACCTGCATGTTTCAGATGTTAGAGGAGGAGAAGGATGTGAATCTTGCTTCTCTTGCAATGTTATTAGCAGTGGTGATGATCAAGCACTCCACTCTTTAACTTTTGATGTGATGGGTATAGACAAAAGTTGTAAGAAACATGATGATGCATATTATTGTCTACAGTATCATATTATAAAGTATAAACATAACTTCTAATTGAAAACTTAAAAATATAGTGAACAAAAAAAAGAGAATATTTTGCTTACTCTTGTTCTACCATCATCTACATCAATGTACACCGAAGTAGTTTGAAATGATATTCGTGCAATATCCTCAACCTGAGAAACAAGTATATAAATAAATAAATAAATATTATCATGATTTAATTAAAACAATGAAATAAACAGTTAAAATATACAAATGTGTATGAAAAAAGGTTTTACCTTCTTTGTTTGAGTTGCAGAAAAGAGAGCAGTTTGCTTTTTATGCACATTACAGAGAACCAAGTTCAGTTCACTAATGATACAAAAGTTAACTACCACAAGGGTAATATGGTCAGTTAGTTGAAGTGTTTGAAAGGGAATCAAAATGCACTTTTGGTTCTAATTTTTCTCTTAGGCATTTCATCATACAGTTGGCAAGCCCTAATTTGAGAAAAACTGAAATAGAAGATAAATGGAGAAACTACCGACTTGTTCAATGGAAATTGGAATGAAAATAAACCCAATAGCTAAAATTGAATTTTGCTTTTTTTATTTAGTTTAATGAAAATAAACCCAGTAGATAAAATTGAATTTTACATGAAAGGTAAAGGAGGACCTGAGAACTCGAGGTGTAATTTCAGAGGTGTAAGACAACGAACATGGGGTAAATGGGTAGCTGAGATTCTAGAACACAATAGAGGTAGTCGATTATGGCTTGGAACTTTCGGGTCAGCAGTTGAAGCTGCCCTAGCTTATGATGAAGCTGCCCGAGTCATGTATGGTCCTTGTGCTCGACTCAATCTGCCAAACTGTCGAACCATGAGCGAGTATGATTCTGAATCAATGGTGGTTCCTAATGGTGCTTCAAGTTGCGACTCCACTACAACGTGTATCCATTCAAAAGACTCCAAAAATGGCTCCGGTAGTCAAATGGTCAAAGATGATTGTGAATCGAATAGCAATGAATATGGTAATCCGCTATTGATGATGACTGTTAAAGAAGAAGTTGAAGATGATCAGGAAGATGATGAGTGGTAATAGCAAGCCCTAATTTGAGAAAAACTGAAATAGAAGAGATAAATGGAGAAGCTACCGACTTGTTCAACGGAAATTGGAATGAAAATAACCGTTAGTTTACAAAATTAACCATAAAACTTCTTTTGATCTTCCATCATGTGAGAAAGGGTAATTCGAACCTTTGTTTGTGGTGGTGTTGGTGGTCCGATGTAGATGGGGTGTTGGGGGCGGCAAGGATTGGATTTTTTGAGAAAGCGTGTGAGAATGTATTTGCGGTGGTGTTAGCGGTCTGAATCTTGAAGAGTTAATACTTGGGTGGCCTTCCATATCACGGTTCCTTGTTTCATCGATGCATATACATCCGAACATAACACACTACAAATATGGTGGTGTGAGTGATTGCTTGGGTTCTTGAGACAGAACAAATGATTTTTTGAGAAAGCGTGTGAGAATGTCTTTGAAGATATTGTGGAGAAAAGAATACCTAAAGAAGCAGGTCAAGGAATAATGCAAGAACACTATTGGCGAGTATTCTCAAGAACAATAGAGATGAAGCAGGTGAAATCACAGCAAAGATGAAGCAAATGAATGGAAATCAGAAGCATTTTTTCTTGATTGATATGATGAAGTCGAGAGATGGAGATGAAATTGTAACCTTGGATCTGTGATTGGGAATTTGCACAACAGTGAGAGGAGGATGAAAGAAGCATCAAAATGCTTAGGGCAAATAGGGTGGCAGGCTTTTCTAATTTTTTGTCTTTTCTTTTCCTACTTGTAACTAAAGAACACGCATTCATAAAAATTATAAAGCGACACCTACATAGGACGCACATTTAAGATACAGCGCCCTCCGTGTTTTTAATTTTTTTTCTTATGGCACTAAATTAAGGGCGCTCAGTAATGCACGACCTAAATCCTTAAATTTTTTTAAGAGATGACCCATTTTTAATGTCACTCTCGTTTGCGTAACATAAATCAAAGAGTGTCGTGTTTTGCGCGTCGTAAAAGGGTTTTTTTCTTGTAGTGACACACCATAGTTGCAGTTTATTCCTGGGAGTTTTGCTCAGATATTTTGATATGATATTTACTTCAGTTTTGAATTGATACATTTTCTATGGAATTTTGAGACATCTGATTCATGGTTTTATTATGTAATATTTGATATTATGGTTTTTAGTAATATTGAAACAAAAATTTTTTAGGTTGTATTTTTAGGATGTTTCAAGTTGCTGTCAGAGCCTTGGTTTGAGGGATTTGGGTACACTTTCGAGTGTGTCTGAACTCAAACTGAGGAAATGGTAAAAGATTTACAAAAGTGAAACATTTTAGAAAAGAAATTATTTTAAAAAGAACTTAGAAAGAAAATTTGTTATCTTTAAAAGAGAAAAGGGTGTGGTGCATGCGATCAGCCGAGCTCAAGTAAGTACTCCCAAATTATCCATACAAGTTTATGTTATGATTATCAGTCTCAGTTTCAGTAGAACAGCGTGCTAGAATAGGACTAAGGACCTAGGGATGATGCCTTATGTACCTGCTATATGTGTTTCAGCCTGAGGAGAATTCCATGCTAGTATTGAGTAGACAATAGTAGGATAGCAGGTTTAGGTTATGCCTGATAGTATAAGCTTAGCATTGTATGATAGTACAATTTCTCATTATGAGAATAGATTTGCTTGAGTAGTTCCTGTGTCCGAATGTTGTTTCTTTGTGCTCTCTGGGACTCTGAGTGATGGGAGTTAGCCATTACGTGAATACATCACGTCACATGTGATCATGGTTGAATATTCTTAGAGTGCTGGATTTGGCCCTACTACGTCGCTCTTGTCTGAGTCTAACCGTTGTGAGGATGATTATTTTACTCGAAGGATTATCTGAGCCTCGTCACATGTGGTGGTATTCAGGTGATGGCTAATTGGCACTACAAGGAGGCCTTCAGCAGCTGAGGACTGGGTTGAGTCAGAGATATCTCTAGGGTAAGCCTAGGATGAGAGTAACAGAGATCAGTAGTAGTAGTAGTGAATTGGTGGATTCGAGGCGGTTCTTGAGGAAAGTATGGATAGATACAGAAAGTAGTATGGGCCCGTACTACTAAAAGCATAGGATCCGTACTTGAATCAAGGAAGGCCGAGGTGAGACCAGGAAACCTGTAGTAGTAGCGATCCCTCGAGATACGTCAGTGTTTCTGATGTTTGAATTGATGTGTTTTCAGAATGGTGGTTTTACGCCCTAGACCAGCAGGCGGCAGTTCAGGTGCCGGTGAGGGATCAGGATCAAGATCGGGGGTCGAGCATTTGGATGAGCAGACAAGGGAGTTGTTCTCTTCAGAGATTACTCACATCATATTGGAGCAGACTCCTGTGATCTTTGGTTCGATCAAGGAGAGTATTTTGGAGCTGATGGATGATAGGTTGAGCACATTCTGTGTTAAGGTGGTGACCATGATAGGGTCGTGCACACTCAATTTCCAGGAGTTCAGAGCTTGTGGAGCTCTTGACTATTATGGGGCGTGGGACCCCATTGCGAGTACCAGATGGTTGGATGATGTCGCCAACGCTTTCCGCACCAGTAGATGTCCCGAGGGGGACAAGATCAGACAAGCATCCTGTCTTCTGAAGGACAAGGCATGAGATTAGTGGGAGGAGATCAAACATGTCATTGGGGATGACGCAGCTCTTGATACGATGACCTGGGGTGATTTTTCTGCTAGGTTCAGAGCCGAGTTTGCACCAGTTATTGAGGTGAAACAGTTAGCTAGGGAGTTTCAGGATCTTACTCAGACTATAGAGATAGTGGCGGAGATTACCGCCAAGTTCAGGGAGAGGACTCTTCTTGTTCCTCAGTACGCAACTGATGAGGAAATGAAGAAGACCCAATATCATGAGATGTTGCAGAGTGATATCCGCCAGTTTGTGAGTCGGTTCAGCTATAAAACGCTAGATGATATGATTGGTAGGGCTCGTGAAAGGGAGATAGATTTGGAGATGGAGAAGAAGAGAAAGTCGGAGGTGGCTTCTGGTACGGGGAGTTCGGGCAAAAGGCCTAAGGTTTCGGATCATAGGTTCATGGGATCGCAGAGCCACACTCGGTGTGGCAAGTGTGGGAGATTGCACGATGGGACGTGCAAAGCAGGGAGTCCTGGGTGCATCAAGTGCAGACAAACCGGGCATATGAGTAGAGATTGTACAGCTACCACCACCACCACCACAACATCTGATCTGATTTGCTTCCATTGCAATCAGAGGAGACATAAAAAGTCCGAGTGTCCGAGTTTGACGGCATTAGGGAAGGTGGTAGCACCTGCCCCTGCAACATTGAGGATTACAGACGGCCATCAGGGCCGGAGTGAGGCGCCAGTGGCGAAGAGTAAGGCTTTTCAGATGAATACAGAGGAGGTGCGAGCGACTCTTAATGTAGTGAATGGTATGTATCTTCCTTTCATTTTTCTATGGTTATGAATTGTTTCTTATGTTTATATGTTTTATATAGGGTCGCTCTTAGTGAACGACATTTT